CACGGCGGGCGCACCATGGTGCAGCTCTACGAGAAGGGCTACGGCAAGGACGCTGCGGGCATCGCCATGGAGGCCATTGCCTACGGTACGGCGTGGACGGATCAGCGCCCGGGGCACAGACCGCTGGCTGGGTCAGAGAAACAGCTCGTTTGTGCTTTGGCTCTAAAACAGCAAAGGAATGAGCAAAGTAATGCACTTAATCACGTAATGCACTTAATCGTTGGTTTAGAGCAGCTAAAGAATAAGTAAGGAAAATAAGGGAAGGCATCTAATCATTGCCACAAAGGATTAATGGTGGTGATTAAAACAGGTACCTCACCAACTGCCCTAAGACTTTTCTATCACCCAGATCCATGTTGAGCTGGGCAGCTCCTGTCAGAGCAAAGGGCTGGGGAACTACTTCAAGCAATCGGGAAATCCTATGCAGTGTGTGCACTCGTAGGTGAGGTCTCCATCAGCGTGTGAGAGGGTCCAGCTCTGATACACCCATACAAACTAATCTGTGAATCTCATATGCACAGAAACACCTGGTGAATTGGCTGCTCTTGGGCAGTCCCAGGTCTGCCCAGGACGTTGGGCATGTCTGAGGAATTCCTGTTTTGTCTCATTTCTAGCTTTTTAGTTTCCAAGGGCCCTTCCCATGGTCGTATTTCTTACTGATATGGTAGCGGTCAGGAGGTTTGCTCATAAGTCAGCTCTGGTTTGAGGCCTATGGTTTAGACTGTTCTCTATCAACATGAAAGCCAGGGGTGGGTGGTGCTGTTATGGGGAACTGTCCTGCCTCACGCTGCCTCCTCCACCCAGCACGGAACCAGGGCTTTGACGTGGTGCTGGTGGACACGGCGGGACGCATGCAGGACAACGCGCCCCTGATGACGGCCCTGGCCAAGCTCATCGCCGTCAATGCTCCCGACCTGGTCCTGTTCGTTGGGGAAGCGCTGGTGGGCAATGAGGCAGTGGATCAGCTGGTGAGTGTGGAGCCTTTGTGTCTGAGAGGTGGAGACAAGGGAAGAATCCATCTCTGTAGGTTTTATTGCAGATTTGGACAGTGGCAGCACCACAAATGTGTTTCTTGGATCCATTTTCTCCCTCAGGTCAAGTTCAACAAGGCCCTGGCTGATCACTCCATGGCCCAGACGCCACGACTCATCGATGGGATCGTCCTCACCAAGTTCGATACCATTGATGACAAGGTAAGAAGTGACTCTGCATGGAGCTTCCTGATGGTGAACTGGGGTGCTTGGCCTGGAGAAGAGGCAGCTCAGGGGAGACCTTAGCACTCTCTGCAACTACTTGATGGGAGGGTGCAGCCAGGTAGGGATCAGTCTCTTCTCCCAGTGACAGGATGAGAGGACATGGTCAGGGGAGGTTTAGGTTGGACATGAGGAAGAATTTCTTCCCAGAAAGGGTGATTAGACACTGGAATGTGCTGCCCAGGGAGGTGGTGGA